TGAACATCTAGAAATGCCTCTACCGGCCTACCACTGACATCAAGATAATGTATAAAGTGACTTAAAACTTGATGCCCATTTGCATCGGTGCATTCATCAGCCATGTATGCAAATATTTTGAATGTGGTGAGAGCGTTCTTCACTTTTTCAAATGTTGAGTCTTTCACTGTTGCACTGCATGCTTCTAGCCAGTCAGCTGAGTTTCTTGCAGAAAGATAGTGAGCATTTGCTGGTCTTGTTCGGAAACAGTGTTCAACTTCAGGATGAACAAGTGACCATGCACTTAACATTGGCCTTCAGTTTGTGGCGTGTGGTATCTCTTGCTTAAATAGAAAGTAGGATTTCACAGCCATGTTTGTTCACATGAACTGTGTTGTGTCTCCAGCATTCTTAACAGCCTCATTAAGTACTTCTAAAATTGGCTTTGAAAGGGGGCTTATAAGGCTTTCTGCATGTTGATGCACTCCAGAGGCATGGTGTTTTGCTGCCTTTTCACGTAGTTTGTCAGCATTGGCTTTGCTGATCCATCTGACAAACCAAACTCCTCCATCTTTACCAATTATAGCATTGGAAAGCTTTCCTTCTTCGTAAGCTTTTTTGCAAGAGGTGCACCAGTAGCCATCTTTTGTAACTTAAATGGGAACACTTTGACTGACAAACATCGGGAACTGCCTTTAGGTTTCGGAGGCACTGTTTCTTCAGTAGGTAGCTGTATTTGTGCTTCGGGCTGGCTGGATGTAGATGCATCACTTGAACCTTCAGATGACACGTTGATATATTCTTGGTTCTTGATGTGTTCTTCACCTTGGTTAGTTTTTGAGGCCTTTGAGTGGAAAAATTGTTGTTGTTTTTTTTGTCTTTTCATTTTCACTTTGACCTGCAACATATAAAAGAGATATTCATAACTTAAATGTTTTGTTAGGGTAATGCAAATTTAACGTAAGGATAATGCAGATTACACCAAAACACATAACAGTTCTAGATTTCTAAAACAAAATATAACTTTTTTAAAAAAATGTATTTAATTTAAATTGACTTTTGAAAAGTAAGCCATCATGGGATAAGAGGGAAGTCCTCTCCTGGATCAGTAACTGGTTAAAAGATGGTAAACAAAGGGTATGAATAAGTTATCAGTTTTCAGAATGGAGAGAGATAAATATAGTGGTATCCCTGTGGGGTCATTGGTATGGGGACCATTACTGTTCAACATATTCATAAATGATCTGGAAAAATGGGTAAACAGTGAGGTGGCAAAATTTGCAGATGATACAAAACTATTCAAGATAGTTAAGTCCAAAGCAGACTGTGAAGAGTTTCAAAGGGATCTCACAAAACTGGGTGACTGGGCAACAAAATGGCAGATGAAATTCAATGTTGATAAATGCAAAGTAATGCAGATTGGAAAACATAATCGCAACTATACGTACAAAATGATGGGGTCTAAATTAGTTGTTAACACTCAAGAAAGAGATGTTGGAGTCATTGTGGATGGTTCTCTGAAAATATCCACTCAATGTGCAGCGGCAGTCAAAAAAGCAAACAGAATGTTGGGAATCATTAATGACAGGTTTCAGAGTAACAGCCGTGTTAGTCTGTATTCGCAAAAAGAAAAGGAGTACTTGTGGCACCTTAGAGACTAACCAATTTATTTGAGCATAAGCTTTCGTGAGCTACTTTGCACAGTATGCATCCGATGAAGTGAGCTGTAGCTCACAAAAGCTTATGCTCAAATAAATTGGTTAGTCTCTAAGGTGCCACAAGTCCTCCTTTTCTTTTTGGGACTCATTAAGAAAGGGATAGATAATAAGACAGAAAATATCATATTGCCTCTATATAAATCCATGGTACGTGCACACCTTGAATACTGTGCAGAAGTGGTCACTCCATCCGAAAAAAAGATATATTGGAATTGGAAAAGGTACAGAGATGGGCAACTAAAATGATTAGGGGTATGAAACAGGAGGAGAGATTAAAATGACTGGGAATTTTCAGCTTAGAAAAGAGATGACTAGGGAGGGATATGATAGAGGTCTATAAAATCTTGACTGGTATGAAGAAAGTGAATAAGGAAATGTTATTTAATCCTTCACATAACACAAGAACTAGCAGTCACCCAATGAAATTGATAGGCAATAGGTTTTAAAAAAAACAAAAGGAAGTACTTCTTCACACAACATATAGTCAACCCATAGAGCTCTTTGCCAGGGGATGCTGTGAAGACAAAACCAGGATTAAAAAAAGAACTAGAAAAATTCTTGGAGAATAGGCCCATCAGTGGCTATTAGCTAGGATGGGGAGGGATGCAACACCATGCTCTGAGTGTCCCTAGCCTGTTTGCCAAAAAACTGGGAATGGGCAACAGGGGATGGATCACTTGATGATTACCTGTTCTGTTCATTCCCTCTCAAGCATCTGGCCTTGACCACTGTCGGAAGACAGGATATTGGGCTGCATGGACCATTGGTCTGATCCAGTGTGGCCATCCTTATGTAAAAATTAATTATAATAATAAAAATGTTTAGTACAGAAACTCCCCAACATAATGACCTCTCAAGATAGCAACAATGTCAGATAACAACCTTGGCAAATAATGCATTTTAAAAATCTTGGCCTACTAGGAAACATATTTATATAAGTTTCCATTCCCAGTCACAAATCTAGCATTCTGGAGCAAAGTCACTAAAATATAGTCCAACAAATGTTTATGTAACGTGCCCCTCACTTTTCCCTCCATCACACCTCACTTACCAGTGTTGTCCTTGGTCAGTGGAGACTCAGAGTTCAGAGGTGCTTTCACATGAGTTCACCTCCCAGGTAGGGGGCAAGAAGGCACCTTGCTTGTTCCTCCAGCTGCTCACTGTTCGCTCTGGCCACTGTTGTTGGTTGTACCATGTTCACGCCATCGCTCTGTTGCCAATGGACCTGTGCCATCACCTTCTGCTGCCACCAGCCACTGTGACCTCTGTGAGTTGGTCTCTTGAGGTTCCACCCAGCTCTCAGTGATTTCAGCTCAGTGGGGGAACCTCACAGCTAGTGCAGGCTGGGCCATCTCTTCCACAGAAACACTGTCCCACAGCAGGTCTAAGCACTTAGACCTGATTGTCAGTGATTTCAGCTGCAGTGGTCACTTAACAAAACAAAAGACTCTCTATGGAGCCTAATCAGCTCTGTCTTTAAACAGTGGAGAGGGGCAGGTCAAATAGTACTTGTGACTCAGGCAGACCATCAAGCAAAACACCTGTCCCCACCCTCTCTCCTGATGCCCTCAATCAGCACAGGCTAGGTACAGTTCTACTGCCTTTACTCAGACAATAAGAATAATTAATAACAAAATTAATAACAAGAATTTTAGTTATAAGCTAGGGACGCATCAGTTAGAAGTAACGGAGGAGGAAAAGGACCTTGGAGTATTGGTTGATCATAGGATGACTATGAGCCGTCAATGTGATATGGCTGTGAAAAAAGTTAATGCAGTCTTGGGATGCATCAGGAGAGGTATTTCCAGTAGGGATAAGGAGGGTTTAGTACCGTTATACAAGGCACTAGTGAGACCTCACCTGGAATACTGTGTGCAGTTCTGGTCTCCCATGTTTAAGAAGGATGAATTCAAACTGGAACAGGTACAGAGAAGGGCTACTAGGATGATCCGAGGAATTGAAAACTTGTCTTATGAAAGGAGACTCAAGGAGCTTGGCTTGTTTAGCCTAACTAAAAGAAGGTTGAGGGGAGATATGATTGCTCTCTATAAATATATCAGAGGGATAAATACCAGAGAGGGAGAGGAATTTTTAAGCTCAGTACCAATGTGGACACAAGAACAAATGGATATAAACTGGCCACTAGGAAATTTAGACTAGAAATTAGACAAAGGTATTTAACTGTTAGAGGAGTGAAGTTTTGCAATAGCCTTCCAAAGGAAGCAGTGGGGGCAAAAGATCTATCTGGCTTTAAGATTAAACTCAATAAGTTTATGGAGGAGATGGTATGATGGGATAACATGGTTTTGGTAATTAAATATTCATGGTAAATAGGCTCAATGGCCTGTGATGGGCTATTAGATGGGGTGAGATCTGAGTTACCCAGGAAAGAATTTTCTGTAGTATCTGGCTGATGAATCTTGCCCATATGCTCAGGGTTTAGCTGATCGCCATATTTGGGGTCGGGAAGGAATTTTCCTCCAGGGCAGATTGGAAGAGGCCCTGGAGGTTTTTCGCCTTCCTCTGTAGCATGGGGCACGGGTCACTTGCTGGAGGATTCTCTGCTCCTTGAAGTCTTTAAACTACGATTTGAGGACTTCAATAGCACAGATATAGGTGTGAGGGTTTTTTTGTAGGAGTGGTGGGTGAAATTCTGTGGCCTGCATTGTGCAGGTGGTCAGACTAGATGATCATAATGGTCACTTCTGACCTAAATATCTATGAATCTATGAATAACAACATGTCATTACCCCCGCATTCAAGTGATTTGTAACCCAATCCCAGCCAAAATCTATCACTTGGGCAACACAGCTCTATTTGCTGGATACCTAGGTAGATTAGGTGTGAATGTAAATGCAATCTGGTCCTGAAGCCTTTCCCCTCAGCCCCTAGCTCATCACGAGCTCTCAGGGAGAGCTCATTTTGACTTTGCTTACAAATCATAATTTGAAATTATTAGGTTGGCCATCATCACTGAAATGAATGCACTGACATTGTCATAAAAAACAACAGCTGTATAAGGAAGCTAGTCTATATTCATACTTTTCAAATCTATTTTACTTTTTTCAGATAAAATATGCATATCATACACTGTATATGCTTTTAAAGTGTGTATTAATGTTTCAATTTCAATTCAAATTTCCAAACAATTATGAAATTGGCAACACTGCATGTAACTAGTTCACAAAACTGGGGGGGGAAGCGGGGGCACGTGTTGGGAAATTCATGGGGGGTGTAGGGAAATCCTTAGGGATCAGATGCACAGGAACCTCCCTGAACGTTTATTCCTTGGGACATTTGCAGACTCTGCCATTCCTGAGCAGACTCCGCTCCGACTGGTGAATGGTCCAAGTAACTGCTCTGGGAGAGTTGAGGTGTTTCACAACCAGCAGTGGGGAACCGTGTGTGATGACACCTGGGATTTAACTGAGGCCAGAGTCGTGTGCAGGCAGCTGGGCTGTGGGACAGCGTTATCAGCCCCTGGAAGAGCTCAGTTTGGGCGAGGCTCTGACCGTATCTGGCTGGATGACGTTCACTGCACAGGGACAGAAGCTGCCCTCTCTGATTGCAGGTCTCGGCCTTGGGGAGACAACAACTGTCACCATGGAGAAGATGCCGGTGCTGTGTGCTCAGGTAACTCTCATCCATAGGGGTTGCTTACCCCTGGCAGTCACTACTAACCTGAATGACGCAGTGCAGCGGTGTGCAGAGTTCTGCAGGGACTGGAGGGGGCGCTCTTCCCTCGCTGTCAGTGCTGAGCCCAGTGCCCCAGCACAGCACTTAGGGCCTGCGCTGCAGGGAGCAGTACGTGTGCCTCAGTGAGAGACCCTTCCCGTCACTGATCGCTCTGATCCCCTGCCCCATTACAGCACAATGGGGTGCTGGGTAACTGTAGATCCCATTTGTGGGATTTGGGGTCGAATGGAGCCTCCAGCCACTCAGGGCCAGTAGAAACACTGGGTCCATTTATGAAGTGTGGGGTTTCTGACAGTGGCCAAGGCCAGGTGCTTCAGAGGGAATGAACAGAACAGGCAATCATCAACTGATCCATCCCCTGTTGCCCATTTCTAGCTTCTGGCAAAGAGGCTAGGGACACTCCGAGCATGGTGTTGCATCCCTCCCCATCCTGGCTAATAGCCACGGATGGAACTATTCTCCAGGCATTTCTCGAGTTCTTTTTTTAATCCTGGCAAATAATGCATTTTAAAAATCTTGGCCTACTAGGAAACATATTTATATAAGTTTCCATTCCCAGTCACAAACATTCCACTATTCTATCAGGAGGATGTTAAAATAGAAGCTATGTAAGTTAGGTAGTTTAAAATCAGCAAGTCCAGGTAATTTGCATCCAAGGATTTTAAAACAGCCGAGGAAGGAGCATGCTGGACCATTAATATTTATTTTCAATAAGTCTTTGAGAGCTAGGAAAGCTCCAGCAGCCTGGAAGAAAGCTAATGTTATTCCATTTTTTTAAAAGGGTAAAAGGGATAACTCAGCTAATTACAGGCCTGTCAGCCTGACATCAATCCCAGGCAAGACAATGGAGGGACTGATATGGGAGTAGAACAATAAAGAATTAAGGGAGGGTAATGTAATTGATGGAAATGAACGTGGGTTTAATGGAAAATAGATCTTGTCAAACTAACTTGATATCTTTTTTTGATGAGATTACCAGTTTGGTTGATAAAGGTAATAGTGTGGATGAAATAGACTTAGACTTCTGTAAGGTACCGCAAAACATTTTGATTGAAAAGCTAGAACAGTATAAAATTAACATGGCAGGGAGTGCTTCTTCGGTCTATGTTATTTAACATTTTTATCAATGACTTGGAAAAAATATAAAATCATAGGTGTTAAAGTTTGCAGATGATACAAAAATTGGGGGAGGACAGGTCACTGATTCAGAGTGAACATGGTAAGCTAGGTGCAAGCAAACAATATGCATTTTGACATGGCTAAATGTAAATATCTACATCTAGCAACAAAGAATGCAGATCATGTTTACATGGTGGGGGATTATATCCTGAGAAACAGTGGATCAGAAACAGATTTCCAGGTCGTGGTGGACAATCAGCTGGACATGAGCTCTCACTGAGACTCTGTGGTCAAAAGGGCTATGCAATCCTGGGATGTATTAAGAGAGGAATCATGAGCAGGAGTATAGAGGATATTTTGCCTATATTTGGCACTGCTGTGGCCATTGCAGGAATACTGTATTCAGTTCTGGTGCCCACAATCCAGGAAGGATGTTGATAAATTGGAGAGGGTTGTAGAAGAGCCATAAGAATGATTAAAGGATAAGAAAACCTGCCTTACAGTAATTGGCTCAAGGAGCTCAGTCTATTAACAAAGAAGGGTAAGAGGTGACTTGATCACAGTCCACAAAAATCAACCCAGGGAACAAATATTTAATAATGGGCTCTTCAGTCTAGTAGAGAAAGGTAGAACAAGATCCAATGGCTGGAAGCTGAAGCTAGACAAATTCAGAGTGGAAATGAAGCATACATTTAGAATAATGAGGGTAATTAACTACTGACAATTTACCACGGGTTGTGGTGGATTCTCCATCGCTGGCAATTGTTGAGTCAAGAATGGATGTTTCTGTAAAAGCTCTGCTCTAGGAATTATTTAGGGAGAAGTTCTCTGCTCTGTACTGGAGATCAGACTAGATGATCACAAAGGTACGTTCTAGCCTTGGAGTCAATGAACCTATGATCCTCTGCCCTGCTATGGCACAATGGGGCACTGTGTAATCACAGGCCTCACTGGCTGGATATGGTGTCAAATTGAGCCCGTAGCCAATTACATGGACTAGAAACGAGGGTCACTTTGTCCAGAGTAGGTCTGGTATCGCCCATTGTTGTGGCCAATTTGCATCTTAGCTAATTAATCCCGAATGTTCTCCGGGAGCTATGATTGGGCTTAGGCTGCTTCCTCACTTCGTGTTTTAAACAGCTGGGCCATATTTCCCTGTCCTATTTCTCAGCTGCCTGGCCCTACCCAAGAGGTGGCTTCATTTCAGTGGTGAGGAGAGATCCTGTTCTCCTATTCTCATGCAGTCTCGGTGGGTGGAGCCTGTTCAGACTAACAGAGTTTAAGGCTGGAAGGGAGCGTTTTGAGCACTGAGTCAGGCCATCGGCAAAACATGGTGAGAGAATCTCTCGAGCCAAGGGCACAACTCAACCTATCCTGAAGGATGATCCCTCACTTTCACAGACCTTGGGAGACAGGCCAGTCCTCGCTTACAAACAGCAAATACTCACCAGCAGCTACACACCACACAACAAAAACACTAACCCAGGAATCAATCCCTGCAACAAACCCTGTTGCCAACTCTGTCTGCATAGTTATTCAAGGGACACCATCATAGGACCTAACCACATCAGCCATACCATCAGGGGCTCGTTCACCTGCACATCTACCAATGTGATATATGCCATCATGTACCAGCAATGCCCCTCTGCGAAGTACATTGGCCAGACCAGACAGTTTCTATGCAAAAGACTAAATGGGCACAAATCAGACATAAAAAATTGTAACATTCAAAAACCAGTAGGAGAACACTTCAATCTCCCTGGACACTCAATAACAGATTAAAAGTGGCAATTTTTCAACAAAAAAACTTCAAAAACAAAATCCAACGAGAAATTGAAGAACTGGAATTAATTTGCAAACTGGATACCATCAAATTAGGCCTGAATAAAAACTGGGAGTGGATGGGTCACTACAAAAAGTAATTTTCCCTCTGCTGATACTCACGCCTTCTTGTCAGCTGTTGGAAATGGGCCACCTTGTTTACATTGGCCTTGTTAGCACTACAAAAGTAATTTTCCCTCCCTTGGTATTCGCCCCTTCTTGTCAACTGTTGAGACTAGGCCACTTCCACCTTAATTGAATTGGCTTGTTAGAACTGACCCCCACTTGGTAAGGCAACTCCCATCTTTTCATGTGTTAGAATATATATTCTGCTTACTGTATTTTTCACTTAAGGCATCTGATGAAATGGGTTTTAGCCCATGAAAGCTTATGCCCAGATAAATTCATTAGTCTCTAAGGTGCCACAAGGACTCCTTGTTGTTTTCACAGATACAGACTAACACAGCTACTGCTCTGGAACTTTTGAGTTACCACAGATTTTTAAGAAAGATGCCCAGTCTTCTTCTTCCTGTGTAGACTTAAAGTGCCAGAGGATCTTACATGTCTCTAGATACATTGTTCCAGTAATTAATTAAACTCACTGGTATCAATGCCCTGATATTTCTGAATATATCTAGCGTCAGTCACTGGATCTCATTCTGTTTTTGTCTGCTGGATTCGAGAGCCCTCTGTGCCTAAAATCTCATCCCCCGAAAGGTACTGAGAGAGTGTAATCAAGTCACCTCTTAACTTTCTCTTGATTAAACTAAATAGACAGAGTGTCTTATGTTTTTCATTGTGATGCAGGTTTTCCAGACCTCAGACCCTACTTGGTACTCTTTTCTGAACTGTTTCCAGTTGGTCACCATCCCATTTAAAGAGTAGACAGCAGAGCTGGATACAATATCCAGTAACGGTCTCACTAATGCTGTGTACGGAGGTGATACCACTTTCCTGATCGTACTCAACATCATTCTCCAATTTATACATTCTCAGATTGCGGTGGCCCTCCTAGCTACAGCACCGAGCAGAGAGCTCATGTTCAGTTGGTTTCTACCATGACCACTACATTCTTTGCGGAGTCATTCCTTTCCACATTACAGCCCCCTGTACTGTACATGTGACCTACATTCTTTGGCCTATATCCCAAAAGGGAGCCTTGAAGACATGGGCCTTTGTTCCTAGGTGTGTGACCTCACACTTGTCTGTACTTAAATACATGTTGTTCAAATGAGTCCATCTTACAAAGTGACCCAGTTTGCTGTGTAGAAAGGACCTGGCCTCATCATTATTTACCGCTCCACTAGTCTGTGTGTCTCTTGCAGACTTTACCAACAATGAATTGATATGCTCTTCTAGATCACTGATAAAGATATTGAATAGCACTGGATCAAGACCACCTCCCTGTGAGACCCCCACCAGAAACACCCCCTGTGGGATGACAATTCCCCATTTACAATTATTTTTGAGAGCCACTTTTTAATCCATTTGATCTGGGCTATGTTGGTTCTGCATAGTGTTAATGTTTCTTATCAGAATGTCAGACTCCTTACAGAATTTAAGTATGTGCAGCCTTCTGGCAGGTGGAGCCGGCAGCAAGGGTCAGGGTCCATACAAAACAGAAGAAACAAAACAAAGCAAAACAGAACCGGCTCAAGCCCCCACCCACTGATCTGGGAAAATTAAACACCACCTCGGGCGCCTCGCAGAGGCGATAGTATGATGATAGTTACTCCTTTTTGATCGGAGCAGTTAGCTAATTTTCAGGATCAAGTGGGTTGTTTCTGATAGAAGGGGAGATTGAAGATGCTGTAGCTAAGCGGGCAAACGTGATCCTGTGATGTATAAGTGGAGGAATATCAAGTAAGAGGAGGGAGACGGTTATTAACATTGCTGGATTTCTGCAACGCAGTCCTGGTTATGTACAAAGCATGTACAAAGTCCCGTCTCGCTGAACACAGCAGAAAATCAAACAAAGGGGGAGAGTTTCGTTGCTCACAGTTCAAAGTCTCTCTCAGCTCACCCTGACCCAAAGCTCTTAGCATGTTTCAGAAGGTCACATGATCAGCGATTCTCTGGCTGTGTCTGGGCTTCTTTGTGCCTTTTCTGCGTCATTCTCTGTAACTTAAGACTCAGATAAAGATCCAGCATCAGCCCCATCTGTTGGTATTGGTGCTGTCTGCACTGATCACTAGAGCTTTCCCCTCCCCACTGCCAGTTAAATGAGAATTTAAAACAATAACTCCTAGGAACCCAGGTACTCTGCCATCCACACAGGTTTCCTTGTCAGTCTGCCTGCTCGAGTCCTGTATTCGCTCATGGAGACATCAGTCATAGCTGGACCTAGATTATCAGTGAGTTCAGGGCTCATGCCCTCTCGGTGAGGCCTATCTGTTGTGGAACTGGCTGTCTGTAGAAGATGGCAGTGTGCTGAGGTAAGCTGCATGCTCTTGCTTTTGGTATCAGCAAGGATAAGGTTGTTCAGCTGTTAATGACCATGTAAAGTCCCCTCCAAAAAGGACTACGTTTGGGATTGTTTTCTAGGAGGCTTTTTCCAGGCGTGTAGCCGCTGCTGCACCTTCTGTCCTTCCTGCACAGGCATTCCATTCTCCTCTCTCATGGCATCTCGTGTCTGCCATGCTCCCTTCCGGCTCCTCTTTTCCTCCACCTGCTGGAATGCTGTCCTCAGGCCACTGAGACAAGGCCAGGGTTATGCTACACAATTACTTCAGTATAACTACGTTGCTCAGGGCTGTGAAAAATCCTCACCCCTGAGTGACGTAGCTATACAGACCTCAACTGCCCATGTAGAAGGTGCTACGTTAGCAGGACAGCATCTCCCATGGGCATACCTACTGCCTCTCATGGAGATAGTAAATGTGACAAAGTGGGAATGTTCTTAATGTTTTCTCTGAATATTGTGGGGGTGCCTCAGTTTCCCCTATGCAGTTCTTAAGTATCTAGGTGGTGGGATAAGGGTGTATGATCATTGCAGAGCCCTAGAGGGCAGGTGTGTGCAGGGGCCTGGACACAGAGAACGGCTGACACCCTGTTTCTGGCAGCTGATGGCCTGGCCCTTCCCCCCTGCAAAGTGAGAGCTAAAGTGTTGGGGAAAAAAAAAAAGGAATCAGGTGATCTCCTGGCCCAGGAAAGGAACAAAGCCCAGAGGAGGAGGGGCTGGAGGGTGAGTCAGTTTGGGACTGGCTGGGGACATGGAGTGAAGTGCAGACGGGGTTGTCTGGCTCACTGCCCTCCCCCCCCCCCCCAAAATGGACCCAGCTGAGGGGTCCTGTTCTCTGTACCTACTTTAGCTCTCACTTTGCAGGGGGGAAGGGCCAGGCCATCAGCTGCCAGAAACAGGGTGTCAGCCGTTCTCTGTCATCTAATAAACCTCTCTTTTACTGGCTGGCTGAGAGTCACGTCTGACTGCGGAGTTGGGAGGCAGGACCCTCTGGCTTCCCCAGGACCCTGCCTGGGTGGACTCGCTGTGGGAAGTGCACGGAGGGGCAGAGGATGCTGAATGCTCTGAGGTCAGACCCAGGAAAGTGGAAGCTGTGTGAGCTTTTTGCCCTGCAGACAGGCTGCTCACAGAAAGGAGACTTCCCCAGAGTCCTGCCTGGCTTCGTAGGGAGCAGTTCCAGAGCATCGCCCGGGGACTCTGATAGTAAGCCGAACAGAGAGCTCGCCCCTCGGCTGAGAGCGGTGGTTTTCAGTCTGTGGCCCGCTGGCCCTGGGTGTTTGCAGACTATGCCTAAGGGGTCAACAAAAGGTTGTTGTTACCACAGAACTGTGGTTTTCAGCCTGTGATCCATGAATGCTTGATGGTCCACAATCTAGGTCTGAGATTTCCAAAGGGGTCCCCACCTCCATTTGAAATTTTTTCAGGGTCCACAAATGAAAAAAGGTGGAAAACCCCTGGCTTAGAGCATCCTCATCAGGAGCACCACAGCCGTGCAGCTACAGTGGTGCAGCTGCAAGTTTGTAGTGTCGACCTGCCCTAAGACTCCACCGTATCTCTGACCTGTGTAGGAGCAGGGAGCCTGGCCAGTTCTTACTACCTGAACATCAAGTCACTAGGAAGCCTGGTAGGAAGTGGCCCAGGGCAGGGACTAGCTATATTCCAGTGGGAAGTTGGCATGTTTCAGTTGAAGCCCCGCTGACTCAGTGGCAGAATGCTCCACCACTGTTAGGGCCCTAGACTGGGACCCAGCAGAGCCTGGTGGGCCCGAGTCCCCCTGCTTCCTCTCAGGGGGTGGCAGCTCATTGGCTCTGGCTGCAAAGCCTTAGTCCCCTGTGGATAAGGGCAACTCTGCTGATTCTGGCCATTGGGCCACACAGCCCTGAGGGAGAGGGCATCCATATCAACCCTTACCATTAGGTCCTCTACCCCTGAGGACAAGGGTAGCCAAATTGACTCTGACCACTAGGCCATACAGTCCTGGAGACAGAGCCAATCATATCAACTCTAGCCATTTGGCCTCACGAATGTGAGGCAGAGGGTAGTTCAGAGGATGGGGTTCCCTCACCCCCATCACAGGTGACTTGATCACAGTCTATAAGTACCTATTGTGGCAAGATAGCCAATTTTAGTTTGGTGGGTCCTGTGCTTTTCTTGGCAGGGAGCTAAGATGCCACCCTTTGCCCCTGCTCTGGGGTGCTGAGGGCCCTGGGAAGGTGGTAGAGGAGGGAAGCGGTCTGGGTTTGCTCCTTGCTCTGAGTCCCAGCCCCTTTCAACCACTGTGGGTTTCTTACTCTCATCTCCCTTAGATGGGGTTACCCTCAGACGCTGGGCAGACAGGGTCTTCCTTCCTCCTATTCTCAGGTCTCTCAACACACCTCCAAGCTCCAGTCCTTCCTCTTTCCTCCTTTATCTGCCTGATGTAGGGGGTTTTATTAGGTTCCTAACAGGGCCTTAATTGACTGCAGGTGCGCCAATTAACCTGCAGCCACCTTCCCTAGTCTACAGGGAACCACGCCGTAAGTAGCCTTGAGCTTATATGTCTAGCACTGCACCCTGGCCCTCCTGTATCACACTATATAGGGAACAAACTGTCTAGCTGAGAAGGGTATAGTACAATCCAATGGCTGGAAGTTGAAGCTGGACAAATTCAGACTGGAAATAAGGTGTACGTGAGAGTAATTAAGCATTGGAACAATTTTCCAAGGGTTGTGGTGGATTCTCTATTGCTGGCAATTTTTGAATCAAGATTGGACATTTTTCTAAACTATCTGCTCTAGGAATTATTTCATGGCAGTTTGGTCTTGTGCGATTAGAAAGTTGGCAACCCTGCCCTGTTGCCATGTCTCCATGGGAACAGTGTTCCCTACACTTTCCACTGCTGAGCGCTCACTAACTGTAAAGCAAGTCAGGGTGCTATCCCCCCTCTGCTCTTCCTAAATGAGGAATGTTGCCTGTTTGTTGCATTAGCCATAGTGGGGCCTTGATGGGTGTTTCTGGGAAGAGGAGAAATTAATTACACAAATCAGGTGTTTCTTTGGTGTGATCTGGTTTATTTACAAAGTTCTGTTTCCCTAAACACAGTAGAGACCAGCAACAGCTGGCAGTTTCCTTGCTCTCAATTTCCAGAGTCTGCCTCTCCAGCCAGTCCTGTGTCTCAAGGCGCTATGTTCCCTGTGTCACTACAGATCAGATGCACAGAAACCTCCCTAAGTCTTTATTCCCTTGGGGTATTTGCAGGCTCAGGCATTTCAGAAGTGGCTTCGCTCCGACTGGTGAACGGCCCGAGTCGCTGCGCTGGGAGAGTGGAGGTGCTTCACAACCAGCAGTGGGGAACCGTGTGTGATGACAGCTGGGGCTTGTCCGAGGCTGAAGTCGTGTGCAGGCAGCTGGGCTGTGGGACAGCATTATCAGCGCCACATGGGGCTCACTTTGGACAAGGATCTGACCGTGTGTGGCTGGATGAGGTTCAGTGCACAGGGACAGAAGCTGCCCTCACTGAATGCAAGGCTAGGCCTTGGGGAGAGCATGGCTGTAACCCCGGAGAAGATGCCAGTGTTGTGTGCTCAGGTAACACCCAGGGCGGTAGGAGCTTGTGCTGCTGGAAGTGGGGTGCGGGCTCTGCGGAGGGTGCTAACCCCTGAGAGTCAGCCTACATGTGGTGGTGTGTGTGTGCGTCTCTGTACCTGTTTGTGGCAGTGTTGTGTAGGTGTGTGTGTGAAGGGGTATGCACGAGACAGTCTATGAATATTGGCATACATGTGCAGCAGTGCGTGTGTGCATGTGGCAGTCTGTGTGTTTTGAGGCAATGTGTGGGTGTGCATAGGGACGTATGGGGGTTGTGCATGGGATTGTGTGTGTGTCTGCTTGTGTGGCATTGCGTGTGGGGGGGTGCAGTGCGCGTGTGTGTCTGAGTGCGTGTGCGCACACACAGGTGGGGTGATATAGAAATGCTCCTCTCTGCTCTGTGCAGACACCCCCCCATCCGCGTGCGGTGCCGGGTGTTCGGGCGTCCGGCAGCAGGGAACAGCCTCTTGTGCCCTGTGCTTTGTGTTTCAGATCAGGGCCAGCTGAGGCTGCGGCTGACAAGTGGCCCAAGCTCCTGCTCCGGGCGAGTGGAGGTGCTGATTAACGACACCTGGGGTGCCGTGTGTGACGCCGGCTGGGGCCTGCCGGAGGCGGGGGTGGTGTGCAAGCAGCTGGGCTGCGGCACGGCGCTGTCAGCCCCAGGCGTTGCTCAGTTCGGTCACGGGGCCGGCGACGTCTGGCTGGAGGGCGTGAGCTGCTTGGGCCAGGAGTCTCTCATCACTGAGTGCCAGCTGAGCCGGCTGGGTCCCGGGCTGTGTGGCCGTGGCTCCGAGGCCAGCGTGGTGTGTGCTGGGCAGGCCGGTGAGTGACCAGCGCTGTGCGCCGTAGCCATGCCCATGTTCCTGCAGACATGGGGTGGGCGGGAGAGACACCCTGGCCATGCCAGGGGGTGGCCGGGCTCCGGGGGGGCAGCGCCAGGGCTCCTGCTCACCACACCGAGGATACTGGCTGTCCCAGCGGTTCCGACAGCCCTGCTCAGCCTGGGGCACCACTCCTGGGTCTCTGAGCAGCCTCCTTTGCCACGGGGCTCCCTCTCCTGCCAGCCCTGGCTCCGGTGCTGGAGGCTGCAACCCCTGCAGGCAAACCCAGAGCACAGATCTGCGGGGCAGAGAGCCTGTGGGGTCTGGGAGAGATGACTAAGGGACAGGGCCTGTGGGAGCAGCTGGAGAGAGGCCTCTGGGAGCTAGTGCCCCCAACCCTCTCTCTAACCCATTCCCCCGCCCACTCCTTGGGCTGGGAATGGTCCCTGCACCCCCAGTTTTTGACCAGAACATCTGGTCCAAAAGGGATCCTGGTGGCTACGGTCAGCACTGCTGACCGTGCCATTGACTGTCCGGTTGGCAGCAGCGTGCAGCAGGGCTGGTAGGCTCCCTGCGGCTCCTGGAAAGCAGCCGGCATGTCCCCTCTCTGGATCCTACACTTTGGGCATCCAGGGAGCTCCACATGCTATCCCCGCCCCAAGCACTGCCTCTGCAGCTCCCATTGGCCAGGAACCACGGGCAGTGGGAGCAGTGCCTGTGGACCAGGCAGCATGCAGAGCCTCCTGGCCGCGCCACCACGTAGGAGTCAAAGTGGGGACATGCTGCTGCTTCCAGAAGAAGCTTGAGGTAAGTGCTGCCTGGAGCCTGCACCCCTGACTCCCTCCCAGGCCCCAGTCCCCTGCCCCAGCTCCAGCCCTGATCCCCCTCCCGCCCTCTGAACCCCTTGACCCCAGCTGAGCGCACCCTCCTACACCCCAAACCTCTCATCCACAGCCCCACGCCAGAGCCCGCACCCCCAGCCGGAGCCCTCACTTTCCCCTGCTGTGCCCCAACTCCCTGCCCCAGCCCTGATCCCCCTCCCACCCTCCGAACCCCTCAGTCCCAGCCCAGAGCACCCTCCTACACCCCAAACTCCTCATCCCCAGCTTCACCGTAGAGTCTGCACCCCCAGCCAGAGCCCTCACACCCCCTGTACCCCAACCCCCTGCCCCAACCCAGAGCCATCTGAACCCCTGAGCCCAAGCCCAGAGCCTGTTTCTGCACCCCAAACCCCACATCCCTAGCCCCATCCCAGAGCCTGCACCCTCAGCCAGAGCCCTCACTCTCCCCCGCCATGCCCCAACTCCCTGCCCCAGCCCTGAGCCAGCCCGGTGAAAATGAGTGAGTGAGGGTGGGGAGAGCGAGCGATGGGGTGGGGGGGGAATGGAGGGAGCAGGCGGGGGGCCTCAGAGAAGGGGTGGGGCATGGGCAGGGCCTCAGAGGAGGAGCGGGGCGGGGCAAGGGTGTTCAGTTTTGTGCGAGTAGAAAGTTGGCAACTGCCGCGGCCCCGGGTCCGGAAGAGCGCGCCCTCTCCCCGCTGCGGCCCCGGGCCTGTGGCAGTGGGGACAGAGCTTCTCCGGCCTTGGGGCTGAAGTTGGGAGGGGCTGAGAGGAGCAAATGTCTTGTGGGGGCCGCAGTGCGGGGGGTGGAGTGGGTCAGGACAGTGGGTGCAACAGGCGCAGGGCTGCGGGGGAAGGGGCAGAACGGGATGGGGCCATGGGCGGGGTTGCAGGCAGAAGAGTTAGGGAGGGGCCCCAGGAAACCTTAATCTGCCTCTGGCTGTTGGGAGGGCCTGTGGGGTAGGGTGACCATATTTCCCAAAGGGAAAACAGAACACCACATGGGGATAGACCAACCCCTCCTCCCCAACCATGCGGGGCTGGTCCGAGCCATTCACCTGAGTCCTGCCTGCCCCCTCATACCAGGTTGGGGCTTGCATTGCTGCTCGCTTGAGCCCTGCCTGCCCCCCACCTGACCCCTGCCTCTCCCTCTGCACGGGGCTGGCGTCGCTGCCTGCCCCCGCAATGTTCCTCTGCACCCCACTTTTTGACATAAGCCCACTTTTGCCAAAAAATTCGGAATGGCTGGGACAGGGCTTAAGAAAGGGACTGTCCTGGCCAAAACGGGATGTATGGTCACCCTACTGTGCATGGAGGACGGAGTCGGGCCCAGGCAGGTTATGGGGCAGGGGAGGGAGTCAGCCTTGTCAGGGGCCTGCGCATCTGGAGGGAGTCAGACTCAGGGGCTGTGGGGCAGAGACGAGGCACAGCTCATTGCCTGGCTCTCTCCCTAGGCCCTGGGCTACTCTGCTCTGTGCTCCTTGGCCTGGGCGCCCTGGTGGTGCTGATCTGTGGGGCACTGCTCTGCTGGAGGAGGCGTCGGGACAGAACCGCTGGGAACCCCCTGGGTAAGAGCCCTGGACCCCTGCAGGGGAGAGAAAGGGGGGGCTGGGACAAGGGTTGCCCTGCTGTCCTGACCCAGGAATCCAACCCCAGCTGGAGCCCAGTATCCCTGAGCTACAGGCCAGTGCCCTGTCCATGCCCTGTGCTGCCTCCCTGCATGGGAACCTTCTGCTCTCACAGCTACTGGGATCTCTGCTCTGACTGCCATGCCCAGGCCCACGGTCCTGGCCTGCGGGTGCCCCATCCCTACAGCCCTGCCCTGGCAGTGGGGTCCCATTCACAAGGTGCCCTGGCATGCTGGCTTGGGGGTAGGGTGGGCTAGGGTTGCCAGGCATCCATTTTTTGACTGGAATGCCCAATCGAAAAGGGACCCTGGTGGCTCGGGTCAGCACCACTGGCTGGGCCGTTAAAAGTCCGGTCGGTGGCGCAGCAGGGCTAAGGCAGGCTCCCTCCCTGCCCTGGATGTGCGCAGATCCCAGGAAGTGGCCGCCATGTCCCTGCGATCCCTAGACGCAGGGGTGACCAGGGAAACTCTGCATGCTGCCCCTGCCCCCAGCGCCGGCTCTGCAGCTCTCATTGGCCGGGAACCAAGGTCCATGGGAGATGTGGGGACAGTGCCTGCTAGAGCAGGCAGAACGCACCGGGCAGAGCCGCCTGGTGGCTGCGCTTCTGCCTCGGGGCCGGACGTGCCGGCTGCTTCCAGGAGCAGTGTGGAGCCAGGATAGGCAGGGAGCCTGCCTGAAGCCCGCTGCGCTGCCAACCGGGAGCTGCCTGAGGTAAGTGCTGCCTGGCCGGAGCCTGCACCCCGAACCCCCTGCCTCAGGTCAGAACCCCCTCCGGCACCCTAACTCCCTCCCAGAGCCCGCACCCTCACCCCAACCCCCTGCCCTAGGTCAGAACCCCCTCCTGCACCCTAACTCCCTCCCAGAGCCCGCACCCTCACCCCAACCCCCTCCCTAACTCAGAACCCCCCCTCACCCTAACTCCCTCCCAGAGCCCGCACCCTCACCCCAACCCCCTGCCCTAGGTCAGAACCCCCTCCTGCACCCTAACTCCCTCCCAGAGCCCGCACCCTCACCCCAATCCCCTGCCCTAACTCAGAACCCCCTCCTGCACCCTAACTCCCTCCCAGAGCCCGCACCCTCACCCCAATCCCCTGCCCTAACTCAGAACCCCGTCCTGCACCCTAACTCCCTCCCAGAGCCCGCACCCTCACCCCAACCCCCTGCCCTAGGTCAGAACACCCTCCTGCACCCTAACTCCCTCCCTGACCCCACACACCCTCCCACACCTCAACCCGCTACCCCAGCCCTGAGCCCCCTCCCGCACTCCAAATCCCTTGGCCCCATCCTGGAGCCCCCTCTTGCACCTCAAACCCCTCATCCTCAGCCCTACCCCAGAGCCCACACCCCCAGCCAGAGCCCTCACCCACTCCCACGCCCCAACCCCCTGCCCTAGCCCCAGCCCAGTGAAAGTGAGTGAAGGTGGGGGACAGCAAGCGATGGAGGGAGGAGGGCTGGAGGGACTGGGGGGTGGGGCCTCATAGAAGGGCAGGGGTGGGGCCTTGGGGCAGGGGGTGGGGCAAGGGTGTTCGGTTTTGTGCAATTAGAAAGTTGGGAACCCTAGCCTGGGCCCTTCATCCTGTCCTCTTGCTTGCAGGCCATGTGCACCTGGAGGAGCTGGGGGCTCCAGGGACCCTGGCCCTGCCCCAGGGAGTGGCAAATCCAGAGCCCCCTGAGGAGCCCCACAGTGAGATGACCTGGCTGGTGAGGGAAGACGCGGTGCTGTGAGAGCCGCATGCCGGCCAGGCTGGGCTGGGCTCGGCTCAGCCTGCAGTGAGAGACGGGCCGGTGGGACCCTGCACAGAGCAGCCCCAGGGCTGCCAGCTGCCTGGGCTGTGGGGACGCTGATGGGGCTCGTCCTGGGGCTGGGGCTGCTGGCTGGAGGTCTCAGTTCTGCATTGCCTTCCCCAGCTGCCTTGGAAAGCTCCCCTGCTCTGTCCCACGCCCACAGCTTTCCCTGGTGCAGCTCCCACGTCCATCCCTGAGCAGCCTGTGCCCAGCCATGCAGATAGCATGTGGTGCGCCCTGCAGAACCATTGTCCGGTGCACAGGGACAGCCGGCTCCTTCCCCACATTCAGACGAGCTATGGAGAGAGACTGACTACGGGTGTCTGCCTATGTCCGATGCGCCAGGCCCTGTCTGTCTATACTGGATGTGCCAGGCCCTGTCTGTGCCCAATGCCCCTGAGCTCGGGGAGCCAGACCCCATCTGTCTGTCTATGCCTGACGCCCCCTGAGCTTGGGGCGTCAGACCCCATCTGTCTGTCTGTCTGTGCCTGATGCCCCCTGAACTCAGGGCACCAGGCCCACCAGTCTGTGCAGCAGCCAGCCTGGGTCCCCAATAAATGATCATTACTGTTTCTAGTGTGTAGATAAGGTGCAGCTGCATGATGGTGCCTTGCTTATTGGAAAGGAATGGGCCAGCTTACAGATACAGAAAGCTCCTCTCTATCCTTCCCTCCCCGACCCTGTCCTTGTGCTGTCTAAACACTCTGCGGTACTATTACACAGCTAGACTCGGAGACAGCAACTGCATCCAGGCGCGAACCTGTTGTGCATTTCACTGCAATGTGCAGGTCAGCCTAAATGATCATGGTGGTCCCTTCTGGCCTTAAGGTCTATAGCTCTATGGAACTGTGTGTATAATGGTAACGAAGCACTGTCAGCAAGTCATCCTCTTCCATCCCTGGGGCGTGAAATTAGTAGAGCCCCACGTGGATACAAAATTTGTATCTGCATCCGAGCTGCAATCCACAAAAATGATCCATGGATATCTGGATCCGTGGATCCGTGGCTATAAAGCAGATATCAGCGAGCATGCAGGGCTCTAGGAATTAGGTACTTCCATCTTTCTGCAAAAGGCCTGTTCAAGCGGCTCTGCCTCTTTTAGACAACACTTTTGAGACACTTTCTTAGCAGATGCTTCAAAAGTCCATTGACCTCTCCCTAGGTAGGGTAACCATAGTTTACGTTCCCCCAAAGAGGACACTATTGTGGGGGGAAGGGGGAATCTGGGGGGAACAGAAGGCAGTACCTGGGGGGTGCTGGCAGGGATGTTTGGGGGGTACTGGAGGGGTGTGTGTGTACTGGGAGGGGTACCTGGGGGAATGTTGGAGGGAGTCCTGCAGCCTCACTCTCGAGGTGGGGGGCAGTGTTACTCCCTGTCACAGTGGCAGGGTGGCTGCGCAGACCCGGGACACAGTGTCAACTGTTAGTCAGCATCTCCCTGCAGGCCTCTCCCCCTCCCCAGGACAATGTGGATGGGATCCAGGAGCACCAGAAGTTTCCTAAAAGTGGGGGGGCCACCGGCAACCGAACAGTGGTCCCACCCTCCATGCCACCCGTTCCTTCCAAGTCCCCACCCTCGCGCCGCCCCTTCCCCCCAGGACCGTGCCCTAGCATCACCCCTTCTCCCAGAGCCCCTGCCCACACACCGCCCCTTCCCCGAGACCCTGCTCTTGCACTGCCCCTCCCCCCGAGTCCCCGCCCTCCTGCTGCCCCATCTCCCCAAGCCCCTGCCCTCGTTCCGACCCTTCACCCCGGGCCCCTGCCCTCGTTCCGCCCCTTCCCCCAGAGCCCCTGCCCTCATGCTGCCCCTTCCCCCCAAACTCCCTCCCTTGCATCATCCTTTTCCCCAGGACCCCCACCCTCTTTCTGCCCCTTCCCCCTGGGCCCCTGCCCCCTCTCCCCGTCACTCATCCTTACAGCTGGTCAAAAGTGGCCCCCCATTCCGGCATCCATGGTGGGATCCAGCTGCTGTGGCTGCAGGGAAGGGACCAATCAGAGATCCATCTGAGTTGCGACCTTGGCTCACAAAAATTCCAGACGTTGCCTCTTATTTGACAAATCCGCCAGGACAGAGGGCGGTGGATCAAAAAAGAGGAAATATCCGGGAAAACCCGGACGTATGGTAATCCTAATGCTAGGTAAGGACAAACTTCCATCTGTGCTCCAGAGTCTGGGGAAGGAGGGTTGTGAGGGCAGTAGGCTGCCCTCCTCCCCAGGTGCCCAGTACTCTCCATGCTGGTGATGGGGAGCAGGCCAAATGTGACCCAGGCTCTGGCTTTCATTGGGTGTTCAGAACTGGTGCTGGGGATGTCAGGAACCAGTGCTGCTAAAACCCGATCCTCTATCACAGAGCAGCTGTGTAGGCGCCGGATCTGGGCCCCCTGGCTTTCATGGAGCATTGATCTCTGGCACAGGGCCTGCATGGGCTAAACTCCTCCAGTGATTGGTCACCTGAGTGTGTCTGTCACCAGGGAGGCTAGCAGCGAGCCCAGATGTGCTGAAATGCACGGCACTCAGCCAGTGAGGGGTTGCCAAGCCCGGGAACAGAGAGGTTCCCCTTCACAGAGGGGTTCCCAAGCCCCGGGATCTTTTTGTAACTCTGTGTGAGGCCCTGATGGAGCGGTTGGGTTCCTTGCTGGGTGGGTGGGTGTCCTGGGGCTCTGTCTGGCTGAGAGCCCTGTTCTCCCTGTGGAAGAGCTGAGCGTTTTGGGCTCAGGGCAGGATGGCAGGGGTGCATTGCTTTGACATGTGGGCTCTGTGTGTGTGTGTGTGGGGGGGGGGGTCTGCGCTAATATTCCCGCCGGAGCTAGGCTATGGGTGGGCCTGGAGCCTGTGTGTGTTTCAGCAGAGGAAGGCGTTCACAGGGGGTATGTTTTCCAGCAGGGAGCAGGCTCACAGGCATACACTTGGATTATCATGTCCTTTAGAGAGGCAACTAGGCCCAGGGGGAGGGCAGCCCCTCTTTGACTCCCGTGGCAGGAGAGATTTCCCCTCCAGGTATGGAGCGGCCCAGGGGGGAACTTAGAGCTCTATAGCATAGAGCCATGGTTCTCCTGCTGCCTGCACTAAGGTGCAGGGCATTCCTGGTGTTCGCTGGCATGTGATTGAGTGTGACTGCTGCTAGGGTGTCCCTTGGTTGTGCTCTGCCAGGGAGCGGAGCCTGTGGAAAAGGCATTTGTGTCTGTGTGACCGGGCAGTTCAGCTCACCCCCCCTCCCATTCCGCTCGGCCACACCGCTCTGCTCCCTGCATATGGAATGGATCACAAGTCCCGGTGGCATTTTGGGAGGATTTTTAAGTGTGGAGGTTGTGGCTTGGGTGTCCAGCATCCTGGGGGTACAGCGCTGGGTAGGTGCAGCTCCACACAGATGGTGCAGGTTGAGTGAAATGATGTGTTTGTAGAGGAGTGGGAGCCCCGCCCCACCCCCTGGGACAATCCATGTCGCTCTGCTTGTCTGTGCGTGTCAGAGAGAGGCTGTCCAGTCCCTCCCAGTTTCAAAGCTGCCATGTGTGGGCCTCGCCATGCCCCCAGGCTAGCCTGGGCCGGTGGAACCCTAACAGGGAGCTCTTTGAGCCTGGCTGTGTGAGGCACCTCTGGCTCTCCATTCATTGTGTGGGTGCGTTGGGTGCCTAACTCAGGCTGTGAGCAACTCTGTGATTTTTTTTTTTTTTTAGCCTCCAAACTCCTTGTGAGTATACAGCCCTTTCATAGAATCATAGAAGATTAGAGTTGGAAGAGACCTCAGGAGGTCATCTAGTCCAACCCCCTGCTCAAAGCTGGACCAACACCTAGTAAATCATCCCAGCCAGGGTTTTGTCAAGTCAGGCCTTAAAAACCTCTACAGATGGAGATTCCACCATCTCCCTAGGTAACCCATTCCAGTGCTTCAGTACCCTCCTAGTGAAATAGTTTTTTCCTAATATCCAACCTAGACCTCCCCCACTGGAACTTGAGACCATTGCTCCTTTTTCTGTCATGTGCCACCACTGAGAACAGCCGAGCTCCATCCTCTTTGGAACCCCCCTTCAGGAAGTTGAAGGCTGCTATCAAATCCTGACCCCCCACTCTTCTCTTCTGCAGACTAAATAAGCCCAGTTTTCTCAGACTCTCCTCGTAAGTGATGTCTCCCAGCCCCCTAATAATTTTCATTGCCCTCCACTGGACTCTCTCCAATTTCTTCACATTCTTTCTGTAGTGGGGGGCCCAAAACTGGATGCAGTACTCCAGCTGTGGCCTCACCAGTGCCGAATAGAGGGGAATACTCACTTCCCTCGATCTGCTGGCAATGCTCCTACTAATGCAGCCCAATATGCTGTTAGCCTTCCTGGTGACAAGGGTACACTGTTGACTCATATCCAGCTTCTCATCCACTATAATCCCCAGGTCCTTTTCTACAGAATTGCCGTTTAGCCAATCCGTCCCCAGCCTGTAGCGATGCATGGGATTCTTCCTTCCTAAGTGCAGGACTCTGCACTTGTCCTTGTTGAACCTCATCAGATTTCTTTTGGCCCAATCCTCCAATTTGTCTAGGTCACTCTGGACCCTATCCCTACCCTCCAGCGTATCTACTTCTCCCCACAGTTTAGTGTCATCCACAACTTGCTGGGGCAGTGTCCAATCCATCCCATCATCCAGATCATTAATAAAGATGTTGAACAAAACTGGCCCCAGGACTGACCCCGGGACACTCCACTAGATCCAGGCTGCCAACTAGACATTGAGCCATTGATCATTACCTGTTGAGCCCTTTGCTTGAAACCATTTTGTCTTTATCCCTTGTACGTCAACTCATTTAAAACCTTTTAATTCAATCAACTCGTTTTGCTTTTAATCTAAACCAGCCCAGAGCTGAGTTTGAAGTGAAGTGACTGTTCGCTCCAGTGAAAGTCAGAAGCTGTGCTTTTGTCTCTCTAAAGGCTCAGTCAGCTGTGGTATTTCTCTGAACTGGCCAGGTGAGGGCTGGCCACTGTGGGGCAGATGGTTGGGGGAAATTCAGGACTAGGAGAATGCTGGGGTCCCCCTGCACATAGTAACCAAGCTGGCAGAGAGCAGGGTGGGGCTGCTGTGCTGTAGGCAGGCTGTGGGGGCCCAAGTGCTGCCCCAGGGCTGAACAGCACATAGACAATCAGGGCCCTGCATGCTTATCTGCTGGCTATGGGTGTCCAGACTGTGAGCCTCAGCAGCAGAGCATTTAAGGCACCCAGAGTTACAGGGCAGGAGGTGACATAACCCCTCACCCCCAGAACGTGACCAAGCATGAGGGCCTCAGTCTATGTAGTGGTTGCTGAGGAAGTTCAGGGGGATGTCACAGGGCCGAGGGATCTTTAATCCAGAAGACACTTACAGAGCACACTGCAGTGGGTGGAGGCTGCAGCTGGACACAGTCACAGGGGCAACTGGAGATGCAGTGGGCCCCAGGAGGCTGGGGCCAGGCTGACTGGCCAGGTGGGATGAAGGGGTGTTGGAGGCAGTGCTGGCAGAGGACAGCTGAGCCGGGCAATGCTCCTGGCACTGGTCCATCCTGCTAGGCTGGAGCCATGCCCTCCCATGGCCTGTGTGAACCATGGCAGACAGCTGTCCTCAGTAACTCAGCCTGGCTCCCTGCAGTTCAATGCTTTGCTTTATTCCTGCTGTTCATTCCTAATGTGCACCCCATGGGAATGCCTCCATCAGGCCCCCCATCTGGTCCTGGTATATCGTGTCGAAGGCCTCGCTCTGCGCCACCGTGAAATGGTTCTTCCAGTCCCCACAGATGCCTGTGAAATCAGGAGAGGCATCAACTCGGGATTTGCACCGTGGCCATCGAGGGGGTTGGGTCAGAGCGTCTCTCCCCGCACCCTGCACATCAAGGGGAGCTTGCTCCCAGAAGGAGGGGCTGAGCCCACCCAGCTCCCAGCAAGGACTCCTGGCTCTGCTCCCTGGCTTATCCCCCTGGAGGGCTGCAGTGGAGTTGCCAGAGCCTGACTCCCCAGAGATGGGGTCAACCCCATCGGGCTGGCTCACAGCAGCTCCCCTCACTGTCACTATGGGGGGGCCCAGACTCACCACCCCCAGCAGCTTGGGGGGAGTGCCCCAGGGCAGCCATCTCCTCACCCTTCCTCAGGAACGTGCCCTTCTCCTGATCCATGATGTCCTTGGGGAGCAGCGTCGAGTTGCACATCTTGTTCTCCTGCATGGCCCTGAAGGAGGCGTTCTCCACCACCGAGGTGATAGCTCCCTCATCCAGCTCCTGCTCCAGGAACTGGCAGAGTCGCCGCACGCTGCCCCTCAGGTCCTGGGGGAAAACAACAGCCTCAGTAACCATGGCACGGGTTGGTGGAGCCCCCCACGCTGCTCCCAGTGACAGTAATTGTGGCGTGGCGTGGCAGAGCCCCGCTCCCCCAACCTCTGGCAGACAGGGTCGGTGACATTACCTGGGGCCTGGCCTGGCAGAGCCCCCCCCATGCTGCCCTGGGCAGGTGGTGACAGTAACCATGGCACAGCCAGGCAGAGCCCCCTATGTTGCCCTGGGCAGGTGGTGACTAGGGTTTGCCAGGAGTCTCCCAGAATCAGACTATCTCCTGGAGGCTACGAGATTTTAGGGTGCTAAAATCCAGTGGTGCAGCGGGATAAGGCAGGCTCCCTGCCTGCCCTCGCCCTGCACTGCTGCCAGAATTGGCAACATGTCCCCGCGGGAAAGGGGCAGGGGAGAAGGACTGGGGGTCTCTGCATGCTCCCTGCACCCCATGTGCCAACTCCCATAGCTCCCATTGGCCGGGAATTGCACCAAGGGGAGCTCCGGGGATGGTGCCTGCCTGCAGGGAGTAGCATGCGGAGCCCCCTGCCTGCCCCCCCCCCAAGGGGCCACAGGGATGTTCTGGCTGCTTCTGGGAGCAGCACAGGGGCAGGGAGCCTGCCTCACCCTGCTGCCCCCCAACTGGGAGCCACCCAAGGTATGTGCCACCTGGCCGGAGCACGCACCTCTTCCTGCACCCAAACCCTCTGTAGCCCCCTCCTGAACCCAACTCCCTCCCAGAGCCCACACCCCTCATCCCTTCAAACACCCTAATCCCTTGACCCAGTCCAGAGCCCCCTCCCAGAGCCTGCACCCCAACCACCTCACTCAGCCCTGAGCCCCCTCCAGCGCCCAAATTCCCTCCCAGAGCTTGCACCCTGCATCCCCTCCTGCACCGCAATGCTCTCCCCCAGGCACAGCCTGGAGCCCCCTCTCACACTCTGAACCTCTCCCTCACCCCCTCCCACACCCCAATCCCCTGCCCCAACCCGGTGAAAGTGAGCGAGGGTGGGGGCAGACAGGGACGGTTACAGTAACCGGGGCCTGGCCCAGCAGAGCCCCCCCGCCACTCCCTGGCAGACAGGGACAGTTGCAGTCATGAGGGCTTGGCCCAGCAGAGCCCCCCTGACTGAAGCTATTCTGGGAGATTTCCCCCCACCCCAACATTACGTAATGTCATTTTCATTTTCTCAAAATATCCTATTAAAGTCTCCCGGATTGCTTTCAGTAGTCACTGGGAGACCAATGCTGAATCTGGGAGTCTCCCAGCCAATGCTGGAGGATTGACAACCCTAGGGCATAGTGACTAACCAGGGCAGGGCCTGGCGGGCAGGGCCTGGCAGACAGGGACGGGGGATGAGGACAATTTCCAAACCCTGGATTGTGTCTGCACTGGAATGCTGTGAAACATGGATGTCAATGGAGCAGCTGGACAGGCATGGAGCTGATTCACCACCCACTCCCACTAGTTCACATGGCGCAGCCTACTGGACCTTAATGGGGTGACTCCTGATTAACATCATGATGAATTAGGGGAATCAGCCCCATTGACTCCAGTTCAGTTACTCCTGATTTACCCCAGCCGGGGAGCTGGCCGATTGACTCCAGTGGAGCTATGGCCAGTCTACAACAGCGGGGGATGTGGCCGGGTCACTTTACCTGCTGCAGCTCTTCGTAAGTGATGAAGAAGAAATTCTTTTTGCCCTTCATTTCCATCCAGCCTCTGACATGATCAAACCAGGACCCGTGGGGCACTGCAGGGGCAGAGAGCAGAGCGGGGTGGGGCTGTGAGTGTCAGCCAGAGAGTCAGCACAGCGGGGACTCATGTGGGCAGGGAATGCTCCTGCCAGGCTGCGAGGAGACACTCCGATGGAGACTCCTAGAAACGTCGGGCTGGAAGGGCCCTCAAGAGGTCAGCACGTCCATCCCCCTGCACCAAGGCAGGGACGAGTCACCCTAGATCAGCCCTGGGAGGGGTTTGTTCAGCCTGTTCTTGGAAACCTCCAGTGACAGGATCCCACAGGGTCACCTGTTCCAGAGCTGAGGTATCCATGGAAAGTTTGTCCTACTATCTAACCTACATCTCCCTTGCTGCACACTGAGCGGATTCCTTCTTGTCCTCCCCTGGGTGAACACAGAGAACAGAGGATCCCCATCCTCTTTACAGCAACCTTTCCCAGCTTCCTCCTCTCTGGACTGAACACGCCCTATTCTTCCAACCTTTCCTCATAGGCCGAGGTTGCCAAACCTCTGAGAACCTTTGTTGCTCTTCTCTGGACTCGCCTCAGTTTCTTCCCGTCTTTCCTAAGGACACAGTCCCCCAGCTGACGCCTCACCAGTGCCTAGTGCGGGGCAATGTCCTGGCAGACGAACACTCCTGTTAACATCCCCCAGAACGATAGCAGCCTTTTGTGCGGCTGTCCCATTGCTGACTCACGCTGAATTCGTAAGCCACTCTAACCCTCAGATTAGACCCTCCACCCCCTAGCCAGTTATTCCCCACTGTGTAGCTGGGCAGTTAGTTTGACATGTGATGGACTCGCTGCTCACGTCACCCTAATGAGATGAGACTAAAGAGCCCCAATACCATTAGGCCCGTGCCCTGGGACACATGGAGAACCCCCTTTCCCCCCAGGGAATGGCTAGGGGCAGGAGCTGGGACCGGAGAGCCCTGGTGAATACCCCCCCAACACACACACACACCACTGCTCAAGGCTGCAGAATGATGGGATTGTGGAGTCATTGGGATCCGCTCTCTGCCCTGGCAGCAATGTGGGGCAGACTGCATCTGGGGCTGGCCAGGCTTGAATCTGGTATGGCACCTCCCATGTCCCAAGACGTCCCAGGCCCTGAAGCCACACTCACCATCCCCGCTCAGAAAGTCCCGCAGGAACTGCTCAAAGGATTCGGGGTCCTTGTACGAGCTGCACATCTTGGAGAAATAGAAATAGGAGACCAGGACGTCCTTGGGATTGCGGAGTGTGTAGACCACCTGGAGGGGAGCGCAGGCAGGGTCGGACCAGCAGCGTATTAACGCCTAGGCCGACAAGGCCTAGGCCTAGGGCAGCAAATTTGCAGGGGTAGCAAATTTATAATAGCAGCCAGAGGCTGCTTCCCCCGGCACCTGTTCACGCCCTCCGCCCCCGGCCCCGCCCAACTCCACCCCTTTCCCGCCCCTGCCCTACCCCTATTGGTCCGCTTCCCCAAATCCCCGCCCCAGCCCTCCTCCTCTCCCGAGTGCGCCCTCTTCCCCCCTCCTTCGCGAACCTGTTTCGTGCACAAGCACTGGCAGGGAGAGGGGAGAAGCAGGACCCGGTGGCGCGCTCAGGGAGGAGACGGAGTCGGAGTCGGAGCGGAGGTGAGCTGGGGCGGGGGGAGCTGCTGGGGGGGGACAATTATTTCAGGGCCTGGGGTGGCAAAATCATTAATCCGCCACTGGGTCAGACCAAGACATAGGCTGGGGGGAAAGGGCAGGGACTGGCACAGGAAATGGGCTATTAACTCACCTATGGGTCAGGGAGCCCCTGAAGCACTCTGCAGAGCAGAGCTGCCAGCATCACCCTCCCGGCTTGACTGTCCCCGGGCATCCAGCCGTTGGCCCCAGAGCCAGGTAAACACCCGTTGCTCCACAGGGGCAGGGTTAAAGCACTTGGAATTCAGGCACAAGCTTAAGGCACATGCCCCACACCCTACTCCCTATGTGTGACACTCTGTGCCCCAAAGAGACACTCTGTACCCATATTCACCATGGTGATATGATTCGGATAGGTTTTGTACAAAGCATGCCTTGTGAGGTGTCATTCTAAAAGTCTTAATCTGTTGAACATTAATATCCTGTTAAATTCTATGTGCTGTGATTGTATGTGAAGTTATGAAGTTTGGCGATGTGTGTGCCACTGAAACCTGTTGTAAGGTTGGGGACACCCACAAGCAGCCTTTGAGATACAACGATAAAAAGGCCAAACAGTGTTGATGACCTACTGAGGAAATGCAGCCGCTCACAAGGATTACCCCAGGAACTGTGTAGAATAGAAACCTCTCAGAGATAGCACCGGACAATGGGAACTGTTTGACTCAGCAAAAGAGCTTTCCAGCAAGTTGGAAGAAGATATAAAAGGGGGAAGTGACATCATGACTGGACCTCACTCTCCCTACAACAGAATACCCAAGAATACCAGAGGAAAAGACAGAATTGGGGGGCAAGAGCTGGTGCCAGGCGGGAAAGAAGAAAGCCCTGCCTTTGTATGAAACATTAGCAAATTGCTCGTACTATGTATGTAACAGGGTGATACACTGCTTGATTCAGATCCTATTTAGTATATTAGGCTTAGATTGCATTTTTGTTTTATTTCTTATGGTAACTATCTTTGATCTGTTTGCTATCATTTATAATCACCTAAAATCTACATTTCTGTGGTTAATAAATCGATTTTATATTTTTTATATAAAACAGTGTGGTTTAAGTGAAAGGTGGGGGTGGGGAAAGTTCAGCTCAGTTATTAAAGGCTTTGTGCATATTCCTCTCCACATCGAGGGAGGGGGAAGACGGGGTAATAACTAATATACCGTTCATGTTTTTGACCAGGGCAAGACAGTACAGCTCTGGGGTCCTAGTCTGGGGAGTATTTTGGCCGAAGCCTCTCTATTGTTGGCTGGTAGAGCATTCATGAACACAGCCGGGTGTGGCCACTGCCTGTGGATGTTGCTGTGAGTGCAAGCTTGGAGGGCTTTGCAGCTTGCCACAACATCACAGTGTGAGAGGGAACCCACACTGGTAAAACAGAAGGCTTGGCTGTACTCCAGTTCCAGGTGGCACCCTGGGGAGGACCCATCACACTATGGATCTGCACCTTAGCCCCTGTCACCCCGGCTCTGTACTGTAACCCCCATGCACAGCCTGCCTGGTCCACCTTGGCCCTGGAGCCAAAGAAAGATGTGGGGAAGAGCTGGACGGGGAGGTGGCAGGTCAACAGACGGGGTCGGGGATAGCTCAGTGCAGACTCCAGCCCCAGGCGGGTAGTGAACCAGGGCACGCGGGTGGAGTTGAGGACGGCTCGGTTCCAGGCTGGGTCCCCGCCGCTGCGGATCAGGCTCAAGATCTCGATCATCCACACTGTGCCTGGGGGACAGGGGGCTTCTGTCACAGGTGCCTTGTGGGGTCTGGAGCTGTCTCTGAGCACTGCATGCCTCCCTGGGCCAGTGGAGCCAACAGGGCTGAGCCCCACCACTGCCCCATAGCCCTCCCAGCCTTCTCCTATAGCCCTCCCCACCATCCTCCCCATAGACATCCAAGCCTCCTCACCCCATCCCCTATAGCCATCTCAATGCCCCCGAGCCATCCCCAACCCCCAATAGACACCCCAGACACACTCAGCCCTCCCCATCCCCTCCCTGATAGCTGCGCTGGCCACACCCAGCCCTCCCCATGCCCCACATAACTGGATTCCAGGATAACAGGTTGCCCCTCCCCTCCTTCCCAGGGCCCTCTCCCACCACCCTGACTCAGGATGATCCCCCTTCCATGCCTGCAGCACCCTACCTGATTTGGGGTAGGTGACATTGAAGACATCATCATCCTGCACCTGGAACTCCTTGTGGGCGAAGCGCAGGCTCTGCTCAGAGTTATATGCAGGGGGGAACTTGATGCCCTGGTATGTGACGTACTCTACTGCCATTGCCCGGCCTCGCAATGCCTGAGATGACCAGCCCCGCAGGGAGACACAGGAGCCTGTCATCACGCACAAGAGCCTGTGTCTACCTGATTGCAGACCCATCTCCCGCCCTCCTCCCCCCTCCAGCACTGTGCACCCTGCCACAGGGCATCGGGCCTTGCATCAACCCTCCTGCAGACCCATCTCCCCTCCTGCGCAGCACTGTGCACCCTGCCGAGGGGGCATCGGGCCTGCATCTACCTGACTGCAGATCCATCGCTCCCCCCCATTGTTCACTGCCTGGGCAGCGCTGATATGCAGCCCCCGTAGGCAAGGGTTAAAAGCAGCCCTGGAGAGGGCTGCAATTGGGAAAAGAAGTGGAAGTAGCTGAGGGAGTAGCTGACCATAGGTGTGGCCAGCCCAATCAGGCCACAGCTGGCCCTATAAAGAGGCTGTGAGCTAGTTGCTAGAGGAGTTTGACTCTAGGCCTGGATTGAGAAGGACCTGGTTGCAAGGTGCCTGAAGCAGAGCAGTGCTGGGAAAGGGCCAAGGGAGCTGGGCAGCTCCAGCCTAATAAAACCCCACGCTGAAGGTTTTGTTGAAGGCCTATGCAGGTACTGGGGCTGAGAGGGGCACTCTGGGGATAGACAGAGGCAGCAGATCCAGCCTCCTTGCCAACGATGAGTGGCCATTACAGACTGCAATCTGCCCCGCTGAGGTGGGCTTAGAGGATTGGGGGTTCCCCTGGGAGCGGAGACCCAGAGTGTGGGGGTACTGCTGGGGCACCCTGAGGTAAAGGGCACTGGAGTCTGAGGGACATGGGGCCTAAGGCAGGCGAGACACTGGCCAGCAGGAGGTGCTCCAGAGCTGGGAAAGAGCTAATTCCCAGACACCAGCAGGAGGCGCTGCACCAGTAAGTCGGTGCTTTGCTACAAGTCCCCATGGGCATCTCCTACCCAACCCTGAGCATGCCTCACCACTGCAATGGGTGCCCCATGCACGCCTCCCTGCTGGGCACCCCTCCCCCTGGTTACCCTCTACCCAGCCCCCTCCCTGCTGGGCACCCCTCCCCCAGGCATCCCCTGCCCAACCCCTCCCCAGAAAAGAGCTTTTCCCCCTTGCCAGGATTAATGACTCACTGCACTGGGGAGTGCTTGCTCCAGCCCTGCCAGGCCCCTGGTTATAGTCTCCCTCCCCCGCAAGCCACGTACCCACCTGCCCAGATGGCTCTGCCTGGGGGTGTGGGAGGCAGCAGTCGGGGTGTGAGGTCCCTGGGAGCTCAGGGGATTGACCCCTGCCAGGGAAGAGAGGCCAGAACAGAAGGTCTCTCTGCAGCACCCCAAACCCTGGCCTGGCACAGCTCTTGGAGATGCGGGGACGAAGGTCTGCCACGGGGAGGGATCAGGGAGCCAGGCCCTGCCCAGCCCCTGAGGCCAATGATTTCCAGGAGAGACAAAGTCCAGGTGGTCAGCCCCTTCCCGAGAACAGAGGTGGAGACACATGTAGGGACAGAGTTCTCTGCCCGTGCACCACAGCCTGCCCACAGAAACCAGCCGAGGGGGTGGGTGTGCGGGCAGGGGGCGAGAATGGGAGAAGGTGGATGGGGATAGAGATAGAAAGGGGGTGGGGGGGAGGGAGAAGATGGAGGGTATGGACGCAGTCAGAGAGAGAGGGCAAGAGACAGACTAACCGAGACAGGAGGGGCTGTGACTGTTGCGGCTGCCGTTCCCCTTTGGAGCCAGCAGGAAGGGCCGGGAGAAGATGGGCACAGAGCGTTGTCTGTGTGCGCCATAAAAGGTTGAAAGGGGTTTCAATGGTGATTCTTCTCAGGGGACTGGGCAGGACATCCCAGACCACACTGAATGGGGGGTTGTTGTAAGAGTGAGCGACCAAGGATTAGTTACCACGGTATCATTGGCCCTGGGGACACCCCTGTATCGCCACAGCTAGCCCCATTCCAGGGGCTGACTCCCCCTCTCTCAGGCCCCTTTATGCTGCCAGAGGCACTGAGTGTCACCAAGAAGCCGCTCTGGGTGTCGGGCGCTAAATTAGGAAGCGGTCACTTGCTCCCCGGCTGGGGTGGCTCTGGGAGAAGCAGGGGAGGCTGCAGAGGCAGGGACGAGCCGGCTATGGCACAGGCAGGCGGCAATGCCAAGCCGGAGAGCAGTGAGGCCAGGCTGGGCCCAGACACCTCTGCCCCACTCTCGTCTACACCATGCCTCCACCTCAGCTTCCCTCGTGGGAGTTCGCTGCTGGTGTCGGGACAGCTGTCTGCAGCCATAGGGCAGGGTGAGCGGGGCTAAGGGCTGGATTTTCAAGGGTATTTTGATGGCCAGAGATGCAGATAGGTGCCTTGTGATATTTTCAAAAGCACCTTGGTACAACCGGGCACTGCTCTGTGTCTTCAGGCGCCTAAAAATCAGGCCCAAGGTGCTTTGCTTTGTTTGTGTAGGGCCTGGGCCACGTGTCGGGGTGTGTGTACATGTCCAGCACCTGGCACCATGGGCACACAGCTGCTAGGGCTACTGGCAGATAAGTATTAAACAATACATGAGCCTTGCTCAAAGGGTGGGTTCAGGATCCCCGGCCTGTGCCTGAGCATGAAGGATCCTCCAAGCCTGGAGGAGGCAGAGAAAAAGGGGAGCCCTGGCTGTGAGCAGTGGTGGATTAGCCAATGGACTGCTGGGGCCTGGGCCTGGCCCTAGGGGCCCTGGCCAACTGGGGGACTCCCTGGAAAAAATTATTTGCAGTAGCAGACCAGGGTGGGGGAAGCCCCCAGCGGCCCCCATCCCCAGCAGAAGCTATGGGATAGAGGAAGCCCCCCCTGTTTTGTCCCCTCACCCATCTCCAGCAGAAGCCGGAGGGTGGCAGGGCAAGCCCCCTGCCCAACACGCTCTCCAGCAAAAACGCCAAGCAGGCGAAGTGGGAGAAGTTCCAGTGCCCCGACCCTGGTCCCCTGCGGAAAGCGCAGGGGGCAGCGGCGGAAGCCCCAGCACCCGGACCCCCACTGCGGCCCTGGGACTGGAGGAGCTCTCACTCCCTGCTGCAGCCTGGGCCGTGTTGCAGGGACAGAGCTTCTCTGGTCTTGGGGCCACAGTGGAGGGCGTGGGGCAGAAAGGAGCAAAACGGGGTTGCAAGGCTGCAGTTGGGTGGGTGGGGGGCGGAACGGGGACCAGTGTGTCCCTCTGCTTTTTCCCACACGTGCGGAATGAATATTGTTATGTGCACACCACCTCCATATCGGTGCACATAACAAAATTCATGTGGCAGGGCTGGGGCAGAGGGGTCCGGTCTGTGGGAGGGGGCTCAGGGCTGGGGCAAAGGGTTGGGGTGTGTGTGTGGGGGGGGGTGAGGGCTCCAGCTGGGAGGTGTGGTCTCTAGAGTGGGGCCAAGGATGAGGGGTTTAATGCATAGGATTCCCCAGGGCTGCAGTGGGGAGACAGGATTCCCCTCAGCTCTCTCTTGCCTCAGCAGCACCTGGGCTGGGGTGGGAGAGGCACCTCTCCCTGCCGCGGCAGGTCTGGGTTGGGGCCGGGGGAAGGGCAGATCTTCCCGCCGTGGCAGATCTGGGGGTGGGGGGGAGGCATCTCTCCCCATCACAGCCCTGAGCGCCTGTGCGGCGTTGGGGAGGACCCAGGGTGGAACGGGGGCGGGCCTGAGGAAGGGGCAGAAAAGGGTGGGGCATGGGTAGGACCGCAGGCGGAAGGGGCCGAACTTGGGCTGGGCTGCAGGCAGAAGGGGTCGGGAGGGGCCCCCACTTGCTCTGGCCTAGGGCCCCAGGGAAACATCATCCACCTCTGGCTGCGAGGGCCAGGATCTCCGGAAGGGCTCAGCACGGAAGGAGCCCTGTGGATAAAGCCATACCTGTGGGTGCTGAGCCGTTCTGGAGATCCGGGTCTCTCGCCAGTTCTGCTCCCTCCCCCCAGCAAACTTGGCTGGCCGTGCCCAGGGACCTGTCTGGGAGCCCCAGGGACAAGCTAGCGGCTGTGGCTGGAGGATGGCCATTCCCCAGGTTCCATCCCACCGCCCGGCTCCTTGGGAGAACCGGCCCCTGGAGACACTTAGTGAAAGGCTGGTGATGCCGCAGCTCTGATGGGCAGCCTCTGCTCTCCCTGCAGCCGGAGTCTGACCATCGTCAGAAGCCACTGCCAAAAGTCACGCTTCTTACAGTGAGGAAACAAGCACCAGCGCCATGGCTCGGCCCCCAGCGCGGCCAGGGACGAACTTGGCAAGGGAGAGGGGCTGAAAAGTTGTTTCACCAGGCACCTAAAGGTGCAGTGTCCAGCCCGGATCGTCCCAGTGTTGTGCAGAGGAAGCATGTTTCTGTGTGAAACCCTCCAGGAAGTGCAGCGGGTGGGGTCTTGAAACAGCCTTGTTGTTGTTTAATTCTGCTGTTGGCAGCTGTGCAGGAAGCCAGGGGAGGTGCCCGAAAAGCAAGGACTTCACCGAGAGCCTGTTCAGCCCGGAGCAGCAAACCACAGAGCATGCAATAGAGCAGCATTGCTCAGGCCTGCTCTGCACTGCACTCCCCGCTCTAGACTCAGCTCTGCAAAACTCTACAGCGTCGCTAATGCCGGAAGGGGCGGGGGTGTAGCTGTGTTGGCAGAGGAATGCCCTCTGTCAGCTCACGCTGCAGCTCCGCTGGCGTGAGTTGCCGGCATAGCTACACCATCCAAGGCTGTGTAGTGTAGGCAAGCCCTCAGGTTGTAAGCAGGGAGGAATACACTCCTCCAGCCTACAGAGCCCCTGCTGCTGGGGATAGTGAGTCACGTATGCTAGGATCTACGGAGGGACTTAGGCACTGTGACGGTGAGAGTTGCAATGCCTGCCTTTTAGGCGCCTAGAAAATCACAAGCACACACTGCAATTCCCAAAGGCTAGCTTGGCACTTGTGCTCCCTGTGTGATGTGTGGGAAGAGATGGCAGCTGGGAATGGGATCCCCAAAGCCAGCACCTGGAGCGGCTCCCTGCCTACACCAGCTACAGGGAGATGCTGATGGGAGGGGTGTGAGCTAAGCCCTGACCATTTCACTGCATTCAATGCCTGTGTCCAGGCTGCAGGGAGGGGCCTAGTGCAGTGCCCCTTGGCTAAGCTATGCTCTGCCCTCCCTCCCTCCGAGTCCGGTCAGGTCCCCTTTCAGGATCTCAAAGGCCCAACAGCGTCATGAGGGATCCCACAAGACAGTGGGGGCAGCAGCCATGATGGTGAAGCTTGCTCCTTCCAGTCTGTTGCCCCGTCCCTGCACTCCAGTGTGATGCGTACCCTCCTCTCCCACCTCCCCAAAGGTACACACCGGCTGGCTGTGGGCGGCTGCCCCATCCTGTTGGCACAAACTGATCAGGCACATTTTGGTGACTTTTGAATCCCTTTTCCAGAAACTCTGGGCACGTTGCCATGCCAGCCAGGACACTGATCTCAGCTCTTCTCAGGGACACAAACCAGACCGTCTGCCACCCTCCACCTGGCTGCCTTTCGTAAACAGGGGCTGAGCTGGCCTTTCACGCCTCAGACAGCTCAGTGCAGGAGCCTTGGTGAAGCCAGCCTGGCATGAGGGGTGTGCCCAGCCCCTGGCTGTGGGGCAGCACAGGGGTATGGCCAGAATACATTGTGTAGTGGCTGTTCTCTGCTCCCCCTGTGGCTGCTGGGGAGCAGAGTGTGAGTTAGAGCCACCCAGTCAGGGTTCCTTCCCCACTCTGAACTCTGGGGTACAGGTGGGGGGACCTGCATGAAAAGACCCCCAAGCTTATTTCTACCACCTGAGGTTAAAACTTCCCCAAGGCACAAAGTCGTTGACCTTGGATTAAATGCTGCCACCACCAAGTGATTTAACAATCAATCAGGAAAAGGACCACTTGGAATTCCTATTTCCCTAAAATATCCCCCCAAGCCCTTACACCCCCTTTCCTGGTGAGGCTTGAGAATAAACAAGATGAGCACAAACCAGCCTTGGATTTTTAAGACCCAAAAAACCCAATCAGATTCTAAAAAACAGGACTTTATTAGAAGAACAAAAAAGGATAAGAGAACAACTCTGTAAGATCAGAATGGAAGATAATCTTACAGGCAGTCAGATTCAAAACATAGAGAATCCCTCTAGGCAAAACCTTAAGTTACAAAAAGACACAGAAACAGGAATACACATTTCCTCCAGCACAGCAAATTTCACAAGCCAAAACAAAGAAAACCTAATGCATTTTCTAGCTAGATTACTTACTAACTTTACACGAGTTGGAGGGCTTGCATCCTTGATCTGTTCCCGGCAAAGGTATCACACAGACAAAAGCCTTTTTCCCCCCACTCCAGATTTGAAAGTATCTTGTCCCCTCATTAGTCGTTTTGTGTCAGGTGCCAGCCAGGTTACCTGAGCTTCTTAACCCTTTATAGGTGAAAGGACTTTGCCTCTGGCCAGGAGGGATTTTATAGCACTGTATACAGAAAGGTGGTTACCCTTCCCTTGATATTTGACACACCCCAAGGTTGCTCTCCAGGGACCAGGCAAGGGAGCACAAAGGTGGCTTAGAGCAATGGTTCTCAGCCAGGGATACGTGTACCCCTGGGGGTACTCGGTCTTCCAGGGAATATATCAACTTATCTAGATGTTTGTCTAGTTTTACAACAGGCTACAGAAAAAGCACTAGCGAAGTCAGTGCAAATTAAAATTTCATACAGACAATGACTGGTTTATACTGCTCTGTAGACTATACACTGAAATGTAAGTACAATATTTATATTCCACTAGATTGATTTTATAATTATATGGTAAAAATGAGAGAGCCATTTTTCAGTAATTGTGTGCTGGGACATTTTTGTATTTCTGTGTCTCATTTTGTAAGCAAGTAATTTTTCAGTGAGATGAAACTTGGAGGTACACAAGACAAATGTGACTCCTGAAAGGGGTACAGTAGTCTGGAAAGACTGAGACACTGGCTTAGAACCCCCATCCCTTTGTGCCTTCCCCAAGTGCAGAGTCACTGAGGGTCAAGGCATGGAGCCAGGCTGCCCTTCACTCAAGAGACCTGCCTCCACCGGACCCCATAAGCGCGTGTCTGCCAGCAAAGCTGCACTGCATTCCGTCGCTGATGGATCAGGCCCTTCCCCCTTTGTGACAGCCCAGTTGCTGAGGTGCATTCCCAACCACTTTCCCCAGTGCTCAGCCATCTTGCCGTGCCCTTGGGTGGGCAGATGCCTTGTCAGAGCCGCTCCTCTCAGCAGGCCACTGATAGCTCCTGCCACAAATAACCTAGCCAGGCAGAGAAGCAGCTACAGCCATTAAAGGAGCCCCACAGAGAGAGATACAGTGCGGTTGTGCCCCCTTTGGGGTGCTGGGCACAGAGGCCTGGCAGTTTTGTTGATGTTTAAAGGAGTCTCTTTCCTTCAGCTAGTTTTTCACACGAGGGCAGGACTTTTCTACCCGTCTACATGCCTGACAAGCTGCAGGGCTGGCAGGGTCCCCCCACCACAGCCAGCTTGGAAGTGCCACCAGGCCAGGGAGAGGGGCATGGGTGTTACTGGATTCTTTAGAACTTGTTGGTCTTACTGGTGCCTATTTGACTCTGCCACCCTGCAAACAGCTGGGAGACACGATCTCTTCATTAAAGACTCAGCGCCCTGCCTCACAAGTATGGGCCGAGTCAGCTCACGGTCCCCTCCTCGGACTCTCCCAGCCCACTCTCCAGCAACAGCAGGACAGACAAGTCTTGAGACCCCTGTTATTTCTAAGCTTAAAAAATAAGGAAGGAATCCCCCCACCCCTTTATAACCATAGCAACAAAACCTTGATAGGCTCCTGGAGGAATGACCCTTGCAGAAGGAAGTGAAAATATTCCCTTTATTTTTAACCCAACTTTAAATAGGCAGCAGATATTTCTCTTTGGGTCTTCTGGAAGCCTTGTTTTGCCCCAAGGGCTCACGGCAAAGGAGCATTCTGGGCCACAACCAAAAGAAGGGTGACCAGCTCTACACAGAGATTGGCTGCCTCTCATCTTCAGTCCCCAGCTGTTGGGCTCGGGGCAGGGAGCGCCCGGTGCTGGTCCCAGGTCGGACCGGATGGTCACAATAGGCCTTTGGGCCTCACAATTTAGTGATCTGGCTGGGTGAAGGCAGCCAGAACGGGTGACTAGGGATCTCTGTTTGGGGCCGCCTCACCCTACAGACAGGGCCAGGGCCACGGCCACAAAGCCACGCTCACCTGAGCTATCCTGCGGGTACGTCCCCAGGCAGCTGGAAGGATGCCTCCCAGCCTGGGTAGACAGACACGCGCTACCATGTGAAACGCAGCAGTGCAGCCCCTGAGTCCGGGGCAGCGGCTCAGGCCACACACCCGGGGTGGCTGGCTCCTCCTGCAGCACAGGCCTCTGTGGCCACACTGGGGCGAGCGCCAGCAGAGCGAGCCCGTGTCTGTGCACGTGGGCTGGGAAAGAAAGTCACTGTTTCCTGGCGTTCCCAGCCACGCCCCCCTCGTCTGTCACACTAGGTCAATTCCGTGTGCTCTCCAGGCCGGCTGAGTGGGCCGCATCGGATGGGCAGCGGTCTCCCTGCTCGATCTGCACTTTAATGATGGACTTCTTCTTGTTGGACATGGTGGCCTTCACCTGGACCTCCTGGTTGGTCACCTCCAGCTGGCCGTCCTGGTCATCAGTGAGCCTCGTTTTCTGGAAGGACTCACACTTATAAGGAGGGTTGTGGCTGTACATATAGTGGTAGAGGCGCTCCATGCTGTGGAAGTGTTTCCTGCCAGCGAAGAGCTGGATGGCAAACTCAATGCTGTAGAGGAAGCGGTCGAAGGGGTTGGAGAACATGATGGCCAGGGTGAAGGCAGCGGACTCGTAGCTCAGCACCCCGACGCTCCCGCGGGCCGTGTAGCTTGTTTTCACAAACAGGAAGCTCTCCGAGGAGCTGGGGGGGATCTGGGGCACAGGGTCTATCATGGCACTGCCGCTGAAACAGTAAGTCCTGGAGGAAAACACCACGGGGTTCCTTCATTACACAACATCCCTAACAATAATTAATAACTGCATCCCCCAGCAGGGGAATCCTGACCCTGGGGTGGGTCACAGCCTGCCCGCTCTTCTGCAGAGGGGACACGCAAGTCACCAGACAAGGGAGTGCAACCCCACCTGGGCCAGCCCCCAGGGCAGATGGGTCTTTCTGCATGACCAATGCACAAGGTGGTACTGGTTCCTAGCTGATAAAATGTTACGTGGTCATGCACATTGTTCTTAACTACAGAGTAGAGGCCACACACAGTCAGATGGACATCTCATACAGCTGCATATGAGTGTGTAAGTACACATGTACCTGTGTAGGTAAGCATGTGGGTAATGTACATGTGTGTATGTGGAGGTGGTGAACTAAATACACTGAACACCTTTACAATTAATCACAGGCCTATTGCCATGTCATCTGCCCCCAGTCCATCTCCCTGGGACTTACTCTCCAACCTCCCAGGTGGCTTCCAACAGCCGTTTCCTCTCAAATCAACTGCCCAGGGAAATGTTTCTCCCCACCCTGAAAAAATGTGTTTTCCCCCCTAAAATACCCTCAGTCCTGGACACACAAAATATCCTGGCTCGAAGGTCGAATACAATCTTGTGCCCCTGCAGGGATAGAAACTTTAAATATAACCCAGAGGGCAGGGGGATTTGTGGTGATCCAATGGGACATACAGCACTGACGTAATATACAGGAATGGATGGATAGATAGATGGGGTGTATGGGGATGGATAGACAGACAGACAGATATTCGGTAGCAGACACATACCCCACACCGTGGCACATCTGTCTAGACACCAACCACAGGCTGACTTGGGAAGCCGCGTGGACGGGGCTATGGGAACCTGCTTACCTGGGGTTCTCGAGGGTCATGTCTCTGGTGTTGTTGATTATCTGGATGCCCACACACCGGCCTGCAGCCGTCTCCTGTACCAGCTTTTCAACATAAGCCATCTCGCAGCAATAAGGGATTGTTCAGCAATAGCTCCCGCGGAGCACCACCAGCCCCTCCCTGGGCAGAACCGACTCCCTGCCCTCCCAGCCCCTGGCCTAGCACCAGGTCCAGCGCTGGCTGCGTGTGCTTCCTGCTAGCTGAGGTGGAGCCCAGGCTTTGCCTGTGGGGCAGGGCTGTGGACAGGCAGGATGTGACGGGGCAGGAAGTGTGGGCAGGGGCTAATCTGCAAAAGGAAATCCTGGCTAATCAATATTGGGGAGAGCCAACACAATGGTTGGGGAGGCTCATTGCTACCAGTGTGGATTACTTGACAGTTCTCGACAATCAGTTTGTCCTGCTCCTTATAGGGATTGACATGACCTGTACCAGTGCAGGACGGGGGCCCAGGGCACATCTGCTGGCAGCTCAATGGGCAGTCGTGGGCACACAAAGAAAACCGGTGTTGGAGGCGCATAGGGAACGGGATGGCTGCACCAGCATACTGTGTGCAGAAAAGGACAAGAATGATCCAGGAGCTGGAAAAGCTCTCGTACAGAGACAGCTTGGAAAGCTGGGGATTGTTACCTTAGATGGGATGGAGGAGAGAGGACAGGAAAAGAAGATCCGTAAATAATGAAGGGTCAGCAGAGAGATGATTGGGAGCTTCTGGTCTCCCTGTCTCATCACAGAGGAAGGGGACTCTCAATGCCTCTAAAAGATGGGAAATTCAAAACCGAGAAAAGGAAATTTTTTATCACATGACATGCAATTTGCCAGTGGAACTCACTGCCACAGGAAGTCATTGAGGCCAAGAATTTAGCAACATTCAAAATGAGATTAGAGGAAGTGTCACTCAATGGCTAGCACATTGGATGGGAACTCAGGAGTCCTAGGCTGTGCTCCTGGCTCTGCCACTGGTCTGCTGGGTGACCTTGGGAGAGTCACTTTGCTGCTATGTTCCTCAGTTTCCCCAACTGTGCAATGGTGAAACTATCCCTTTGTCCATCCCTGTATACACCTCTCTACCCATCTGCCCACCCTTCTCCATATTGATCCATCTAGAGTCCATCACTCTAACATGGCACAGTAGCTCAGCTCTCCATGTGGGCGGTGGGGAGGGTAAATTGGCCCCTCTCTCACCGGGTGCTGTGAGTCTGTAACTCACTGTGGGACCCTGAGGTGGAGCAGGCCATGGCCCTGTGAAGCAGCAGCAGCTGTATGGATCCAGGTGGGGTGAGGGCATCATCACGTGGCTATAGAACATAGACAGGTCCCAGGGCTGCAATAGGAGCTGCCTGCAAAGCAGCCGGGGCTCACTCCTTTCCCCCCTGAGGCCAGATTTAGGGGCAGATGACCCAGGCAGATGACCCTGGGGTGCTGGGCTTGAGGGGCACTGGGCTCGGGGTGCTGTTTGTGCCAAAAGGGAAAATAGAATGTTTGAATGTGACAAATGTAACAATACACCCCATATTCTTTATAGAAATATGGTTATGATATGAATATGATATAACTAAGATATACTTTATGCAAGATGGGTCTTGTAAGGTATCATTGGAAAGGCTATGATTTACTGAATGTGTTTATCCAGTTTGTATGCATGTATCATTTTTGTATCTGAAGCTGGGAATATTGACCATGTTTCTGTATTTCAAATGTGCTGCGTTGGATAAGGCCAAACAATGTTAGTGGTTTATTGAAGAAATGCACACAAGCATAAGGATTACCCCAGGAACTGTGTGCAATAGAAACCTCTCAGAGATAGCTTGACACAATGGGAACTGTTTGACCCTTGGGAAACCCAAGGCAACTTGTGCCTTAAGAATCTGCCAGCCTGTTTATCACTCAAGATGAGAATTTGCTAATTTGTATCCTACCTAGCTAGTGTGTTAAACTCAGTTTGCGGCTTTTGTTTATTTACTAAGGTAATCTGTTTTGTTCTGTTTGCTATCCCTTTAACCACTTAAAATATATCTGTAGTAGGAAGAGGACCTGAAACATAAGCCCATGTATCAGAGGCCTGGTGTGAGGCCTGAGGCCTGGGCTAAAGTAATCAAAACCTTGCTGATAATAAGCAAAGTTAAACTGTGAGCAAGAGTCAGGCCCTGCTCACAGAGTTTGGCAAGAACAGGACTGATATTGCAAAAAAACATATTCCTAAGAGTTGCTCGGCACAAGGCACTCACGCAAGCACATTCCGGAAAGGTGGTACCAGAACACCCCGATAAACACATTCCCCAAAGATAACAGGAACATGCTGACCCATTTTAATGATAAGGTCAGGATAACAGCATGATGAATATAGACGTTTTGATCAAACCTACAGGTACATGGCAATGGGTGGCACCTGATACATCAAGGGTGATAGGTAACTTGTTTATATTGGTGTATAAAGATGTATCTCAGAGGGATTGTCTTTGTCTAGCCAAGGGGGCAGTGGAAAGTCCTGCCACTGACTGAGCTGCGTCCATTGTCATGGGCATCCATGTGCTAGTGTAACTGTAGACTTTGACGCAGGGGCTAGGACCGTGCTTTGCTGACAATAAACCTGACCAAGCATCTTCGCACCTTAACGGATTTTGTGGTCATTGGGCAGTTCGCTTGAGATCTGCTGTAGCAGCTATCTGCGCAGAGCTGGGACAACACACTGGAAGAACACACACACACACAAACACAGCCAAACATTTGACAACACTACCTTTCATAGTTATAAACTTATTTTGTTTATTATTAACCCAGTTTATGTAATTTCTAAATCTGGGGGGCAAGAAGTCATGCACATCTCTCCACACTGAGGAAGAGGGCAGATTTTTATGAGCTTGCACTGTGCAAGACAGTATTATTTTGGGTTGTTAGGCAAAAAGATTCTTTTCCCCAAGAATCAGGTAAGCACAGACAATACTGAAGGGGGTTTATTCAAGGTACCCGGAAGACTGACAAGCAGCTTCGAAGATATGGTGCCATAGTGGCCAGTTACATAAATTCTCTTATCAATTCATTTGCATTTATTTGTATGTAAGCAGAGTCAGGATGAGCTCTACCCTGACATTTGGTGACGAGTCATGGTGGGTTGTGGAAAAGAACTTCAGGGGCTGATCTCATTTGCATAGGCACACCCACCCCATCTAGATGGTCACTTTGGCTGCTGTAGGAGCCCCAGTTTCTCTGTTATTGGGGCAGGAATATACTGTTATTATCCTGATTATGTGAATCAAGGACAGTGGAACTGTACTTGGCCTTTTGTTATGATGGAGGGACTCACCATCAACTAAGCAGCACTCGCTAGGCAAGGGTCATGGGTTCCAAAACCCAGTGAATGAAGAGAGGCTGGAGATTGGTATCTGGTGGTGTGAGGGCCTTATATGCCAATTGCACTTCCTCTTCTTTCTATGGTAGAATATCTGAGCTAATTTTGTTTCCATTAGGAGTCTAATTACAGGCTGCTGAGCTGAATTCAGTTTAGGCTAGTGGTGCACTAGCACTGAGGCTCCCCTACTACAAGCTGAAATCACAAAAGAGCTAAGCTTACTAAGAGATGAAATCACTCAGTGTTGTGTTAAGTAGTGGGGAAGCCTGAAGATACGTTGCAGAGTAGTTTGCGGGATGGCTGGCAGAACAGAGCGGCTCTTGGAGCAGAGCTGTTCGTGGGACAGCGGGAGCGGTTTATGGGATGGCTGGCAGAGCAAAGCAGGTGGTGGAGTGGAGCAGTTGGTTGGATGCCTGGAGCAGCTCATGGAGGTGGCTGGCAGAGCGGAGCGATTTGTGGGACGGCTGGTGGAGCAGAGCGGAACCCCATGGAGAGGTGGGGCAATCGGCTTTGGACCATGTAAGGTGCCCCTTAACCCCCCCGCCCCATCTCCACCCAGGTCGGGAGGTAAAACTCTGCAGATAAACTTTTGAACTCTGGGGCTGCACTGACCAGGGACAGAGACTTTTGGGTCATTGGACTTTTGGGACTTTGGGTGATTTGGGGTTGCTGGACTCAAGAACCAAAGGGAAAGGGGCATGCCCCAATTTGCTTGGGGTGGGTTTTTTGCTCATGAGTTGTGTTATGAATCCTGTTGGTGGTGTTTCCCCAACATAATGCCACATTGTTTCTCTCTGTTATTAAAAGGCTTTTTGCTACACTCAGACTATGTGCTTGTGAGAGGGGAAGTATTGCCTCTTGGAGGCGCCCAGCGGGGGTGGTATATATTTGTCCCAGGTCACTGGGTGGGGGCTCGAGCCGGTTTGCATTGTGTTATTGGAATGGAACCCCTAGATACTGAACCCGGCCCTTGTTGCTGCCAACTCTGACGGGCAGAAGGGTTACATGTACATACAGAGACAGACATTGTTACAAGTCAAGAGAGAACCCTGTACAAAGATAAAAATAAGAACAGTACGTACATATAGAGGTCATCCTAATTGCATCAAATGTCTATGGCTACCTTGCGGGAGAAGGAGGCGGTGTGGGGTCAGGGGTAGGAATGAGTGCTTACAGATATCCGGTGGGTTGTGGGATAGTTAGGGATAGTTAGCATTGTTCTAAGAACTGAGATACTGGGCAGGCATTGACCATATAAGCTTAACAATTGTTTACAGTTGTCAGTGTCTTTTGAGTTACTGAAACATTCCTGCTTGGTCTGCAGTTTCTGTCTTAACTGTTAGCTAAATTTTATCTCCCAAAAGGGGTGTGCACGTGAGTGCTGGGGGAGTCCTCTCACACAGAGCTGACTTCAGGCTGTGTCTGCAGCTGGGTGTGGCCTTACATGTGTGTGTGTGCTGCATGAGGCCAGAGACCCTAATTCAGCAAAGCAGGGAGAGGGAACCTAGGCTGGTTGAGCCGGAGAGGCTTAGTGAAATCCGAATACATCAGATGGCATCCTAGAATGGGGGGGTCTAACCCATCACAGTGGCGCAGCGAGCAGGGTGGCACTGTGCTTCCAGGTGTGGGAGAGGCAGAGTCAGGCCTCTGCCTAACTGAAAGCCACCGGTCTCCAGGGCTGGGGACAGGAGGGATGTTGTCAGTGTCTCAGGACTTTATCCCAAGGGTTAGCTGTCAGGAATTTGCAGCTAAGTGAAAGATTGAACTTCCCTAGATAGCATAAGGAAGTGTGTCCTAGAGGGAACTCCAGGAAGGGATGGGGGTGAGAA